CAACAAGTCAAATGGGAACACAATACAGCACAACACAACACAAAGTGACCTTCGTTTATACAGCACTGAAAACGAATATTTTTATTTTTATTATGACATCTGGCTCCAAAAGCGACTTTTGCCGCTCCGAAACACTGTTTTGGCTGCTCCAAAAGCCACTTTTGTTGCTCTGAAACACTGTTTTGGTTGCTCCAAAAGCTGCCCCAAAATGGTTTAGGCCAATCACATCACTGTGACTGTCATCCATGACATCGTTGATTCGCGTTCCGTCCCAAACTTTTAGTGACAAATCCTCGCTACATTTTAGGGTATTTTACGTATGTTCTATGGAGACAAAAGTTAAAATTATGTTTCGATGTTGCAGCCTACAATTTACTACAAATCACCCAACAGGCATGTGCACATAATTATGCAGAAAAATTCATACTTTCTTTGTCGAAGAGCGTTTTTGAAGCAAACTTTACTTAAGACAATGGAGGACACTCTCCTCATTTGCTGTAGACAGAACGACGGCAGCGCCATAAACCAACCTTGTTGGAGTGATTTATTTGGCGTCGATTTTCACCTCCACCCGCCTTCTATCTCCACCAAAGCACGTGACCAATGACGTCTCGGAATACATTGCGGTTGACAAGGTCGCGGATTCGAAGACGGCACCGCTGCCGCCGTCACGCGTGCTTGCTCAGATCTTCCTTGTCGTCTTTTGTTATGCATTCTCGGGGAGTGTCCTGTATTCCACAACGGTATTCGCCTGGGGAAGTATTCGTTCGAAGTATCACAATTGAATTGATGCCACGTATAACACGTGACATTGCTTTTGTAAGACTCTAATTTGTTTTTTATGTTTGTTTATGTTAACAATTCTCAGAAAAATTAGAAACTGATAAGGTTTCGTACCTTATCAGTACCTTATTAGTCACAAGGCATGCAATCAACAGGTAGTCACAGTGAGCGCCGCCAAAAGCAACATGGCGGCTGGCAAGCGACAGTGGAGCAATTCGAGTAAGGCCTAGCGAGCTGGACTGCTTTTTGCTAAAATACGATTCTCAAGTGAGTACGCCCGCTCGCTGCCTTCCGTGCGCACTAAAGCACTCCAAAACGCGCCTCGAAGCATCGACACCGCACCTATTACCAGTAGGGGCGGCGATGTGAGGGGTGGGGCATTCGAGGGGGTTTGTCCGCGACTGCTTTCGGCGTGGCCGGCTGCATTTACTTCGCGGCTAGAAAATGTTCAAAGAAGGAATCGTATCGCGACAAATGAAATGACGTCTTTATTGAACAGAGAATCTGCGTGCCGTGCTTGCCGCTAGTGATCTGGCGTTTTTGGTTGACAGCGACGAGGCGAGGCATCACCGATTCAAGCGGCGTCTGTTCCGATCGCTCAACGCTCCTGCTCACCTGTTAGCATTCCTTATTCACTTTCAAGTCCCTGGTAATCCTCACCGGGTCTGTGCACGCACTATTCACCGCACGGAACACCCATTCAACTGGCTATGGGACTGATCGCACTGGGACGAGACGAGCCCGAGAACCGAACCCTTTGTGGCTGCTCCGTGAAGCCATGGAACGACTCCATGTTTTTCACTCAAATAAGTAAACACATAAACGCGCGACTCCTTGAATCGAGCGGCGACACGCGCCACCTAACGGACAGCGCTGAAACTAAGAAAAAAGAAACCAACAGTCTTTACTCTGAGCGTCTCTCCAGGCATGCGCGCACTACATTTTCCACACCACACTTCACACCTACGCGACATTCAGACACCATCGAATATTACACATAAAAGCGTTCACTAACAGCACAAGGTACAACATGAGATATTGAGACTCTACATTGCTCTACACACGACTAGTCGACACCACCAGCTTATATACTGCTGTATTTTCTGTGACCGATTAGGATGATGACCACTGTCATATTTTGCATAAATACGAAAAGACTGCGCAAGATTTATCCGTATATATTATTTTCCTCTACTGCCCGTAGGAAAGCGCTCGTATCTCTAATGTAATCCATTGTAAAAGTGAACTGCAGGTTATAAATCAAATTGAGTTGTCGCTACACGTCACGTTTTGATCAGTTTCGTTTTCTCCCTTGCCTACACTTCAAGTATACAGAAGCTTGTTTAATTAATTGTGTTATTATCGAAACCACTTTCTGCAATCACAACTTTCTGAACACGCTGATGCATTTTCTTTTTTCTTTTTACATATCCGAATTACTTCAGCGGTGGTTGAGTGACTGTTGAGTACACTGAGCACGCGCAGGGGATTCTAGCGAAGCCCGTCCGCCGGTCCTTCCCGAGGCGTTGTTTCAGTTTTCTTCTTTTCGCTACAATTGTTCCTGCTCAAGCGCGTGTCTTTCAAATATGCATTCTATGCGCTCGCGCTCGCGCCAAGAGGACAGTGCAAAATTGCCGCTTTCGGGCCCGTCCCTTCACCTACAGCGAACGCGAAATACGTATGCTAAATTATCTAGAGCCTGGTTCAGACTAGGGTGCCTTCATGTGCGCTTTGCTTAGGGTGGTGGCATCTCGCCATTTTGTCCCACACTTTTATTTTTATTTTTTGTTCAGAAGCGCGTGAAAGAGCGTGGCCCTGCACGCGTTTGTGGCGTTGACTGTATTATGGCGACATTTTGTTTTCGCTGATTTCTTTGTATTTTCCCCGTGAGCGCGTGCTGTCGGCATCGGGTACTACAGAGGGTGGCATCACCCTAAACAGAAGGACATTGAGGCACCCTAGTTCAGACAGTTCCGTTTGACTGCGCTGCGGCAGCGAGAAACCAGGACATCCCTGCTGCTTATATCGCGTGCCAAGACGATTCCTTGAATTGGATTTCACGCTTCATACGAAGCACAGATGTGCCGGTGAGTCGCTTTCGGTTCTCGACGCAACGCTGTCAAACGCATTCAAACGCATGTGTCTGAACCGGCCTCAAGCATCAAAGAACGCCGAGAACATAGTTCTCTGCGCTGCACCTGCTGGATTCTCCAGCAGTACTTTTTTCTAAAAAAAAAAAAAAAATCGAAATTAAATAGCACGTGTATGTTTGCCAACGCCTTATTTTTGGAAATTTACTTGGAATCTTTTATATAGGTAAAAGGAACGCGTGCCGAAAGGCCTGAAATCCTAGTCCCCTTCAAAGTACTTCAGCTTGGATGACACACACTTGTTTGAAGCATTTTTGTTTGAAGCATTTTTTTATCGAGTATGCTCGATGAAATGTGCCAAGTGAGTCAGTAAAGGCGAATCATATATTCCAAGACAGGGAAATACTGAAATACACGGGCGTGATTCCAGATATCAGTGTACGTTCGTTCTGTCCGGCCTCAGTCGTGGTGTTTAATGCTTCATACTTCACTGCACTTGAAAGCAAAACAATTGGGTATGACAGGCGTGCAAGTTTTGCGGAACCGAGGAGGCACTTTGCAACTGATCTGCACACAAAACTGACCGATCACACCTTTATTGAGAGAACGCTCTTTACTGAACCGCATAATAAAAGACGTGAAAAGTATCTCGTCCGGCGAACATTCCAGTCAACTCACGCCTGTGCGTAGGTTCCTGTCCTTTTCTAGGGATTTGGTTAAATTCCTCGAGCACGATGCCAGCTGCCAGTCGTTTACTACGTTTACTAGCTGTACATTGTAAACCCCATGACGGAACCAGAAAGGACAACCGCGATACTTTTTATCTGCCTCGGGTTTTAGTAGGTGCCTACCAAGGTTGCCTGTACTCTTTGGCAATGTTTGTTTTCTGCCAGTTTAGGCGAACTGAGCCACACGCTTGTTTCGACCGCTCCAAATTTGAATAAATGGTAACCAACGACACAAAGAAAACAAGTTTCAAGAACTTTTTGACATTTTTGAAGTGACTTTTACTATTGAACGACTGCATGCACTTGAATGTTCAATTCAAGAGTTTATAAAACGTGACTACCCCATGCTTGTCGCCTGCCAACAGGGTGGTAACGCTCAATGGCTCGAGCCCAGTGGGTAGTTAAGTGAGCATGTGGGGTAGTTACAGCCGTCAAAACGCATGATGACTAGGGGGGGTGCTCACTTTTTCTTAGAGTGTACGAGGGCGACCCACGTTGCCGAAAGCTTACTACTGGTCAGAGCCGCAAAAATCTTTTTTTTTTTTCAGTCGAGATACAAAATACAAGTGTCGCGAAACGTTTCAATTGTGTATGAAACTAGTTTTTGTTCAGTATTTTAGATCAGAAAAGAAACAAATGCAGTTTATGAAGTACGGAAATAAGAAAAGACCCGTCGACAAACCCGCCACCAAGTGGCGGAAAAAGCGGTGCATACTGGAAAGGGCTAGTGGGATGTGGCTCCGACAAACGGTGAGCGTAGAAAGATCCCGGATGTACGCGGCGGCGCTGCGTTCGTATACCGGCTCAAGGATCCGAGCGTTCCGAAGGTTTTCGGCGCGGGCTTGGCTGACGATTTCGCCATTTGGCGATATGGCAGCGCGAAGTGACTCCCGTTCTGACCTGATCTTTACTCCGTCTTTGCTGTCGTTTGTGGCCCATGAAGTGTTATGCCGAATGAGTCTTTAATCGCGCAGCAAATGCAATGCGAGCCGCCCGGGCCGCCCGCTTCATACAGCCTATCCAACACGTGCTTTAGTGGCGCCCTCTCGAGCCGTCGACACGGAGTGCGGCAGCCGTGAGCGCTCGATGAGCTCACTACTTCTCCTCTAGTTCACGGCCACTCAAGCCAGGACCTACGACGTCATGAAGGAGGTCATTTTTTGCTTGTTTTTGTAATTCATATTTGCCTATAACTTTTTAAAATAAAGCGAAATTTGAGAAAAGAAAAGTTTCTTTAAGTTACTACGTTCAGTGCGCTCATGTTCGGTGCAAATTAAAAACCATACAAAAAGTTGTTGCAGGGCCCCTTTAAGAATTAAGGGACCGATTTTATGTATAATACCCTAGCTATAAAAAAAGCATTATCTGTTAGAAACAGAACGTGTAAAGGATAGTTTACCTTCTTTCCTTTGTGCCTTTTATGAGCCGTCCTCGCAGAAAGTCTTGACGCCGCATGGTGGATTAATATCATAGGCAAAATGAAAAAAATTGCAAACATCTTGATGCCATGCCGTTCCTGTGGGTGCCAAAAATAACCACAATAATCGTGAACAGGTCTGCGCATTAAGTTTATTCTAGCGTTATGGGACGACATTTTCAGTCACATCCGGCCATTTTCAGACCCATTTTATAACTCAGTGAACGCTCAATAGCCGCAGGACGTGCTGTGTCCTGCGGTGGCTTGCTGGTTGCTTTGCAACCAGCAAGACACGACTTGCGTTTTTTGAAGGGACACTAGCAGAATATTTGTGGTGGCCACGGTTTTTATTTATACATGACACATAAGAGCCCAACTACCCAGAACACAATTCTTGGCTCGAAATTCTTTTTCTTTCCACCCGAAAACAACCGATCGAGAACTGGCCGGTTTAAGACACGCTCACTTTCTTCTCCGTGGTTACGTGCCGTTTTCTATGGTTTAGACACAGCCACCAAAGATAATCAGTGAAGGGTCATCGAGGGCACAGACCTAATACAAAAATAGACAAAATTTTTATAACCTTTTTTGTGTCTTCTAGAATGCTGCAAATACGTTGATTACAAAAAGAAGAAAAAAAAGCAAAAAACAAGTTGCACAGCCGCGTGATTTCCGATAACCTTTCTCCTCCTCTATATTCCTTCCTATTTCCCAGTCCAGTTTCGGTTTTGGTTTCCAGCAGTTGCGTATTTCTACATTATTAAACATATACGTGAAGGTGTAGAAAGCTGTTGATTGGGTAGTCTTTGAACACCATATTAAATCGCCTTAAAGACAAAAAAAAATTGGTTGGGGGGGGGGGGGGGGGCGCTTAGATACCCCCTTAGCTATCTGAGCCCACAGCGCCCAAGAGCTTGCTGATTCCGTGTTCAGCCCTCGCCTACGTAGTACGAAAGCTACCGGACTTGAGCTGTTTGATGACCACCCTGAAACCTTCAGAAGCGGACACAGATGTTGGTAGCCGCGACGGCAGGCGACACGTCTTCTTAAGATTGCGGTCTATTACAGCGCGACTGTTCCGGGTTGATAATCCTACTGCCGTGATCATCGACTGCTTGGTTGGTAAGAGGCCATTCTTTGCAAGTCAACGTCGTCTACAAGTCTGCGTCTGACTGGCTACGCACCATCGGCGCTGCTGAATTCATCTTGGACGTCTGGCCTACATGCAACTGGCTGCGCTACGGTACCGCTGCTGTAGTCTGCACTTAAAAAGGAGGATTTTTTGCATCATCCTGCACTTGGCAGCCGTGACGGCAGTCGACACATCTTAATATTGCGCTTCATTACAGGTTGGTTCTAATTATATTGATAACGCCATTATATGTCGAAATTGCCGTCGCTGCTGCCAATTGTATTGTCGTTTACGATAAGTTGTTTTTCTACTATAGCGAAAGGTATCGCGCAACTTTTCGCTGAGCTCCGGGATGATATGAAAGCTGAATGAAAATCGATGCCAGAAACGCTTGAGAGAAACTTGTGTAATAAAATCCGCGACCTTGGCTCAGACATACGTGAAGTAAAGTTTAGCATGGACTTCATAAGTGCCGAGTTTTAAAATATCAAGAAGACGCTTCCAAGCGGGATCACGGGAGACAAATCATTCAAAAAAGAAAACGAAGAGCTGAGAGTGAGGTGTCTTGCGCTTGAAAGGGAAATGGAAGGCTAATCCGACGAGCGTTGTTCACTTTGAGCAGCATTCTCGAGCCTATAATCTTGAATTGAAAGGAATTGCGGTGCATGAACGTGTATACCTTGATGCAAAGTTGTGCAGACTCGGGCAAGTCATTGGCGAATCGTTCGAGAAGCACGATACCCAAATCTGTCACAGAGTTCGCACACGAGAGCATTACACGCAAAATGTAATCCTACAGTTAATCCCTATGGAGAAACGTAAGAAGGTGCTTGCGAAAGCCCGAAAAAAGCGACTAACGAATGGAGGTTTAGGATTATCCCCTCTCACCCCTGCTTTTGCAATCTATCATCTATGCCCGACCGTAAAGGAAATGATTGGTTAGGCCACAGCAAAGAAGCGCTACGTCGGATGGAAATATGTGTGGGTAAGAATCGGTGAGATCTTCGCCCCGTAAATCGGAAACTACTGATGTTGTGTCGGTAGAACATAGCGACGATAGAATCAAAATCTTCTGAGATAAAAGCTTGCATTGTAATTTGTTTACAACTGTATTCTTTTTCTTTTCAGCATCCGATTTGTTTCGGCCACACTATGTATGTATTGATGCAGATAAAACAACCTGGAGTTTTTAAAAACTGTTTAACTTGAATGTTAGGTTAGCAGGGTCTAAGCTGAACGCACATATGTCCTTTTTGATTCATTCAAATACTCGTTTGATGTGATAATGACCTCTGGAACCTGATACCGTGACGATACTGATTTGTTTTTCATTTCTCCTCAATATAATCATTTTTATAGAAGCCCTCTTTCTAAACCGAGGGGTGGCGTTTTAATGCTGGTTGCGAGTGATGAATTTGAAATTGTTGATGAGTATGCGTCTGTTACAGGTCATTACGCAATTTTAAGCATAAGGCGGTGCATTTACATTTTTGTTGTTGTTTACCAACCTCCCAACAAAAATGTGGCGCGATTTTGTTTTCGCGTGAATTCCTTTATTATGCAAACGAAAGCAAATATTCTTCCTTCCTTTTTTTGTGACGGACATTTAAATATAAGTTTGTTAGGTGACACCCCAACCACTGCCGACTTGCTATTACTGTTAGCAGCCAATAACGTGTCATTATTGCTGAAAATAACTCTGAAAAAAAAGTCAAGGCTAGTGTTATAGGTAAAGATATTAGTGACCACCTGTCCCTATTTATGATAGTTGACACGAAACGAGAAGCACTTAAGTGTGACTCAGCTACTGTGACTTTTCAAAACGTTACACCAGCCACATAAGATACCTTTAGACACAAATTAATGAAAACTGATTGGGCCTATATATCTAAACCCGCGGACGTGGATGTTGCGTACAAAACGTTGCTTGAAATATTTAAGCGGGTTTATTTTGAATGTTTTCGAGATAAGAGCTTTACATTTGCTAGAAAAGGACGGAAACCTTGAATGACTTTGGTGCTTTTCGAAAAGAAACGTAGGAAATATCAGCTCTCTAAAATATTTTTCGCTGCTCGTGAGGAGACAGCCTTAGCCCAGTTCAAAGAGTACAGCAACAAGTTAGCTAGAAAAGTTAGGCGATCTTAAAAAGATATATTATCGAGTTTATTTTATTCAAAATGCCTAAAAAAGGCCAATATAATATAGATGGATATAAAGAGCATTTTAGTACGTCTTATAAGGCACATAAAATTGAAGATATGAAATATAATGTCGATGTTTTCAGTTGTTCAAATTTAGCAAATGTATCTAACAATTATTTTGTGAACATAGGTAGCAGCTTTCACAACCCTGAAGCGTCAGAAAATATAAAGAAAATCGCGGAATCAATGTTTCTCTCACGGCACACGAAATCGTAGTTTGTTCCTCCGTCGTATGCTTTAATAATAGTCGTTATCGTGACACAGATGAGTTACCAATTATACCTATAAAATATGCAATAGGCATTATTTCTCTATGTCTAGCGTACACATTCAACCTCACAATGGCATATGGTGCTTACCCTAAAGAAATGTAAACCGTAAAGGGTTGGCTTGTTTCAAAGAAGGGAACAGAAATGAATTAGGAAACTATCGTCCTATATCTATATATCTTCTATATCCAGAAAAAAAATCATTCGCTTCCTTGTTTTAAGTTTTTTTTTTTTTTTTTTTTTAGGAACATTGTTTAATTACAGAGTGTCATTTTGGATTCCGGAAAATCGATCAACAGAAATAGCTTTATCGGTTCAAAAAGAAGAGATACTTAGAGACTTGGAAGAAAAAAACTGATGCTGGGAGTATTTTTCGACTTTAGTGAAAAATACTCGTACAATATTTTTAGACTCATTATTCGTTTATGGCATTCGCGACATTCCACTAGCGCTAATTAGGTAGTATTTACAATTTCACTCCCACTTTGTGCAAATCAATGATCAGATATCAACTGCTTTAAACATATCATCCAGAGTCCCGCAAGGTAGTATCACGGGGGCCATTTCTTTTTTTTAATATATATAAGTGATATAGTGACCGTTGGTTCAAATTGCAAATACATAATCTACGCGGATGGCTCGAGCATATTCTTTTCAGACGGATCTGAAGAAGGCCTTTCAAATAAAGACAATGCGCTTTTTCTTTTTGTAATTAAAAGCTTGGGCTGAAGTAAATTGTTTGAAAATCAATGTACCAAAAACAAAAGTAATAATTTTTCGCTCACGTGGTTCGGGTGATAGACTGTACAGTCCCTTGAAATTTGGGTCAGTCCACACTGAATTTGTAAAAAGCATTAAAGTGCACTGAGTCATTTTGTCTGATGATATGCTTTGTAATTATAACACTAAATACCTTTGCTGTACAGATCCGTATAAATAATAATTAACCATAGATCTCTTCTTCCAACAAGCGCAAATCATGTTTTATATAAATCGTTATTTTTTTCTTATTTGTGTTTCTTTCTCCGTAAACCCCCAACTTTCCATTCGGAGTGTACGCAATCACAGACGAAAGGGTCTTCAAGATGACCTCGACCCTCTTACTTTGTAGAAGACAAAAAGCGTATAAAATGTCCTCTTCGTCAAAGTACTCTTTCTTGTCGTTTATAATTTATTCCTGCCTCTTTGGCCAGTCGTTTAAAGATCAGAGCAGCAGGAGCAGAGAAGGTCGGTAGTGGCGGCGGCAGTGGCAGTGGTGATCCAGTATTCTGCTCCAATGAAACTTCGCGAAGTCTCTTAGGGTGACATGGGTGAAGAGGATGATCTTCGCTGAATTTTCGATCGTGCTTTTATCATCCGTCTTTTAAAGCGGTTGTAAACGTACTGGCTTATTGGCAGATTTTCTTTGACCAATATCGAAATTGAGGCGTAATCGAAAGAGTGGGAACTGGAAAATGTTTTGCTTGAAAACATAAATAGCGAATCAACTTCACGATA